ACCAGCGGCCCTTCTCATCTGCCCCATGAGAGCTATATTGCTCGGCATGAGAGATTGGGGTCAATGGTTCTAAAGGAAATAGAGTCGCAAGAAATTCAGGATGGAATTCAGGGTTTGGAGAGTTAGGATGATGTTCCAGAAGACGACGACTTAACTGTATTTGAATAAATGTAGATTGTTGTACTGTACTTAAAAAAAATAACACATCCCCTGAAAATAAGCCCTAGGGTGTCTTCTTGAGGAAAAATAAATATAAGACCCTGTCTTATTTTCAGGGAAACACGGGACTTTTTAGCTTTCAAGTAAATTCTGATCTTGCTAAATATACTTGTTAAGTTTACTTTTTAAATTAAATACTTTTTAGCTTTCAAGTCTCTTGTAATCTTGCTAAATTTACTTGTTAATTGTATTAGATTTATAAAGATTCCATAGGATTTTTTACTTACCTACTGACATTTATAAATAAATGATAGATTTATAACCTCTTTTCCAATTTAAAAAAAAAAAAAGAAATGACAGTTGTAAAAGTATTAGAAAATTTTCCTAGGCTTCTCAGCCCTTTGGACTTAACTCCTCAGATTGTATTTGAGCATTCAATTGTAATGTTGCCTCCACCTAACTGATATTTCATATCCTCAGTGATTAAGAATGAGCCAATTTAAATTCGTTTCCACATTTGATAAAGTGGGTGGGAGTAGTAGACAGGCACAATCCCATGTGTTCATATATGTATTGACAAAAGTGTTTATACAATTAAATGAAAAGTAGAAAATTATTTCAGTCATATGTATCCATTCTGTCCAGTATCACAGACAGATTGATCAATGGTGATCTAATAATACATCAAACTGGTCAAACTAATAAAAATGAGCTTCAGTGCACAATTGAATGTAGTTCCTTAACTCCCCACCAAATTAACAAAAAGCAAGCTTCTCGAGTATTAGGGATGGGAAAGGATGTGGAAAATCGGTTTTGCCTTCAGTGGAAGGAGAGAATATTCTACTGCCAGTGAACAGAGAAGGATGTCCTTTTGCTCATAGCTTCTGTGGCTGCCCTAAGCTCATTCATGAATACTCCCATGGCTGCAGAGCTAAGGAAGAATCTGACTAGGAACAAACAGTGGACTCCATCCTGCCACCTGCAGTCTCCCTGCTGGCCTCTGGGTTGGACCCACATCTCCACCCCTCCTGTGATCCAGGACCAGATGAGCAGGACTTTGCAACTGAGTTGGACTGACTCTTTCTCTAAATTGACTCTCTCCAACCCTGGTAAATATTTGTATGCTACCTTATTAGTAAAATATTTGTGTTTTATAAACAATTTATGTGTTACCTTAGAACTATAACCACAAAGAAGCCCAAAAAGTCTTCCTGAAAAATGTGGTAGCAAAATTCTCTTTTGCTGTTTTTCAAATAGCAAGATGAGACTACAGACAGAATCCTTTCTTGGCCTACTAAAGAATAACTGATTTATGATTTATGAGCATTCCACCTAAAGGAAGAATCAATAAAGAAAAGAAAAGCACTAGGGAAGAACAATCCAATAAGTAACTTTAAGCACATTATTCTTTTCTGAAGTTCTATGTTACCACTTTATATATAGTAGGCACTCAATATATATTTGTTATTTGAATTGAATGAGGATATTTTTTTCTTTTTTAGTAATCTTTAAGAAACATTTTGCCTTACTATATAGATCAAACAATTATAGTATTTGGTGCCAGAAGCTCAACTCAGAGAAATTATTATTTTTAATAATACAAAGCCTTCAGCTTTTGTATAATCTGCTGTGGTCCTGGCCCTACCTCTTCAATGCTTGCTAACCATTACTCACAAGACCTTGAGACCACACGTATATTGTCCACAGCAGTGCTTCTCAAATTCTATATCCATTTGGAACCTCGTTTTAAAATGTAGATCCCTGGGATTCTTCACCTACAATGTTCTTTAGCTCTGAGAAGGGACCTAGGAACCCACATTTTAACAAGCACCCTGGGTGATTGAAGTGAAGGTGGTCTGTGGAGCACATTTTAGAAACTGATCCATAGATTTGACCTTGCCCTGTCTCTGGGACAAGCCTTATTTAGAGCAGAGAGAAGATGAAGAACCAACAGTTAGTATATTACTAGGTCCTGTCCTGGGACAAGATTTTGGTTCACTAGTCACTATTTTGTCCTCTTCCCTGCTTTATCTCCCAAATCCAGCTGGTCATGCCTTGGGCTGTAGTAGCTGGGTCCGTGGTATTCCAAGATTTCATTGGCTGCTAGATGGAGAGTTTTCAGTTACTAAATACCGTATTTAATAGCCTGCCTATCCACCTGGTCCTCCACCCATGACCAAGCTCCACCTGTATTCTCACTGCTTAGACATACTCCTGTTCCCTCTTTTGCCCATGTGGGTTTGCTGGATGGCTCATCGGGCAGTAAAACTTCACTCCTTATGACACACAGCCCTGACTGTGGATGCTGACAGTCCTTACACAGAAGTAGCCAAGAGAAATAGGATAATCACCATGTTGGTTGCCCCCAAAAAGATCATCTCCCCTCTGTATCTGTGATAAAATGAGAGGCCAGGCCTGCATGAAAGATTTTAGAAATGGGATCGTTCGAAATTGAGAAACAACCTGAAATACATCATTTTTGTTACATACAGCCTGTTCTCAAGAATGGCCCAAAACCTATGTAGATTAAAATAAAAGTGTTTTTAATTGGCCTTCAGGCTAATACCTTGAGTTGGAATTAAAACACCCTTATCTCTAAGGAACCTCTCTAAAACCGTCATAAACCACACTGAACTAATGGATGCCAGTAACGTGGAGTTCCTCCGTTCAAGCCCCCTCCAAAGGGTAAAGAGCCAAAGAGATTGGACAGGTGTGCGAGACGGCTCACGTGCTAACAGAAAGGGACTCCTGTCCAACCAGAGGTGTGTTTATACAATACCTGCTTAAAAGGACATGGCTGGAATGAGTGCTGCTGAGCAGCTGGTATCTTCTCAGATTATTATTCTAGCTGCTGCAACCCAAACTATTAGATTTAAATACAAGCAGCAGCTTCAGACAAGAGTAGAACAGACTTGAATGATTTCTTTCTCTGTCTTGGTTCATTCATTTATTCAACAAATGTGTTTTTTAATACTTTCTATGTGCCAGGAATAAACAGCCCTGGCCTCTGCCCTCCTGGAACTTCCCCTCCTGTTGTAGAGTTTAGGTCGTGAATTTGTGCTGGACACTGATCTACCGAGGACGTCTCCTGTTCTCTCACCTGCCTGCATCAGAGGAAAAGAGCCTGTGAGCACTGCAGTGCTAGGCAGGAGAGGTAGTAAGAAGTGCCCCTAGAGAAGCCAAACCAGCAATCTTCATTCCAGTAGAGAAACAAGGCTTGATGTTTATGCTAAGGGGCTAATCAACAGGAGGAAGAATGAAGTTGCCCACAGGTTAAACAGAAAGCTTCCCGTGGATTCTGTACAGCAGGCAAAATTGTGTTGGATGCAGTAGATCTATGTAAGACCGCCTTTGTGTTACCTCCCGTTTCTGCTAGATGTTGAAGATTAACTGAAATACCAGGTGCTGTATAAGCTAATAACAGTTCTATTAGCTTAAACCAGAAGTTCAGCCACCTGCAGGGCTTGCCAAAACACAGATTGCTCAGCTATATAATGAGACTTTCTTTTTTGTAGGTCTGGGATGGGGCCAGAGAGTTTGCATGTCTAACAAGATCCCAGGACCACACTTTGAGAACCATTGGCTTAAGCAAACATATCCAGCAACTTGAAAGTGTTGCTCCACAAAGGGATATAGGCAGCATCACTAGGTTTAAAACTTTTAAATACCTGATGTTTTTCTCACTACAAGATAATACACATGTCCTGCAAAAAAAAAATGCTTTTAGTAGAAAAGCAATAAATTAATAAAATACTTCAGTAAACTTAAAATTACCCCCTCAAAGATAGCCATCAATAACTTTTCTGTGTACTGTTATAAAATCTCTATTATGTATCTGTATGTTGTGTATGCATGTATGCATGGTATTCTCTCTCTATGCAGTATTCTCTCTTTATGTATACATGTAAAACATTGGAATCGTACATACTGTTTTGTACTGACCCCATTCATGTAATATATCGTAAACATCTTTCTAAGTCAATACAGTTTTATAAGACAATTTGGTACATCCTTTGAATGGATATTTAGGTTATTGTAGAATTCTTTTCTGTTCAAAAAAATAGGTTCTGCAAAAATATTCTGGCAAGTCTTTATGTACATCCTTAAGTTTTATTTTTAAAATTTTCAGAAGAAAAAAATGCCACATCATAAGTTATATAGATTTGTAAGCCTTTTAATACATATTGAATAAATGCCTTTCAGAGAAATGCTGGATCATGTCACATGCCCATCAGCGCTGTGTGGTTATTTTCTTACAGCTTCAAATGATGCTGAATACGTTTGTTTGTTGTTGCTCTGTGGGAGGTTTCTTTGCCAATTTAATAGGGAGAAAATGCTTTCTTATATTAATATTTTGAATTTTTTTCATTTACCAGTGGGGTCACTAGTGGCATCACGTTCAGTGACATTGTTGAATATGGAACTTAGAATTACACTATCAGAATTGCCAGAGCAAGTCTCTCGTTCGAGACTTAACATGTCTGGCATTTCCTCAGGGCCAGCGTGTCACATTTTCTTTAGCACAAACAAATCTAAGTAGAAGAGCTTTTGTTGTTTTATGTAAACTTTGAGAGAGTAAATTTGCCACAAAAATTTTGTATTTTGAATTTGTCTAATGCGATATGCAATCTCATTTTTCAGCATGTAATAATTTATTATAATTATAATTGATCTAATTTTACATAAGAAATCAAATATTTACAGTGATTAAAAGAGAAAGCTGATAGAGCAATGTATCTTGTTATCTGCTTATCTGTATTTATTGAGTGACCACATAAGATGATGACTAAAATGAACTTTTTTGGTGATACACTAAACTGAACTTTCCTGTGGAAACACAGGGACTGTTAGGTGAAAAATATGGGAACATCCGAATCCCTGGAGAAGTCGAAGCCTCGGAGTTCGAGATGATTTTGGACGCTGCCATAGAGGCGAAGCTGGAGACCAAGCTGCTGGAGGAGTGGTACTGCCGGGACGAGAACTCCGTGCCGGCCGCGTATTACCTCAGGCCCAAGTCGGACATGCTGAGACGCAACAAGGACGCGGTGAGTGGCCTTTGTCTCAGGGTACACGTCTGTCCGTTACTTTAGCCTGTCCGTGGCATCTGAGGGTGTTTTTCTCCACAGGAAAGGCAGAGTGGACAGAAAGTTGCTCTGCCCTCAGCCCTAAATTTCCTTTTAACAGCTAAATCCACACTGGTTGTCAGGGAAATGCCAATCAAAACACCATGAGATACCATCTCACACCTGTTAGGACGGCTATCAAAAAGTCAAAAGATTCACGCCTGTAATCCTAGCTCTCTGGGAGGCCGAGGTGGGCGGATTGCTCAAGGTCAGGAGTTCAAAACCAGCCTGAGCAAGAGTGAGACCCCGTCTCTACTATAAACAGAAAGAAATTAATTGGCCAACTAATATATATAGAAAAAATTAGCCGGGCATGGTGGCGCATGCCTGTAGTCCCAGCTACTCGGGAGGCTGAGGCAGGAGGATTGCTTGAGCCCAGGAGTTTGAGGTTGCTGTGAGCTAGGCTGACGCCACGGCACTCACTCTAGCCTGGGTAACAAAGTGAGACTCTGTCTCAAAAAAAAAAAAAAGTCAAAAGATCACAATGCTCGGGAGGGAGTGGAGGGGGACACTGGGACCCTGCAGCGGGGACTGTAGATCGGTGCAGCCACTGTGGAAACAGTGTAGCATTCCTCAGAACAATAAAGAACACAGCTATCATGTGATCCAGCAACCCCACTCCTGGGTGTATATCCAAAGACCATCACCATCTTGAAGAGACACCTCCACTCCCGTGGACACTGCACCATTGTTCCCGATAGCCAAGATGTGGAGTCTAAGTGCCACCAACAGATGAATGAGTAAAGAAAATGTGGCCCGTACACAGGCATCACATACAATACACAACGGAATACTATTCAGCCTTTTCTTTAAAAAAGGAGATCCTGCCATCCGCAGCAACATGGATGAACGTGGAGGACGCTATGCTAAGTGAAATGAGCCAGACACAGGAAGCTGTACATACTGAATGAGCTCGCTTATATGTGGAACCTAAAAACGTCAAACGCATGGCAACAGTCCAAGGGTGGTTACCAGAGTCTGGAATGTGGAGGAAATGGAGAGATGTTGGTCAAAGTGTACACACTTCCTGTTATAAATAAATAAGTTCTGTAGACCTAATGTACAGCATTGTGGATATACTTAATAATATTGTGTTGTGTACTCGAAATTTGCTAAGAGAGTAGGTATCAAGTGTTCTCTCCACACACACAAAAAAATGGTAACTATGCAAGGTGATGGGTATGTTAGTTTGATCATGGTAATCATTTCACAATGTATACATATATCAAAACATCACATTGTGAGCCTTGAAAAATTTAATGAAGAAAACTAAATCCAAAGCTAAGAAACTTTCCAAATGTTGACTCACCTCTCCTTTTAGCATCTCTGACTTACCTTCTGGGGTAGTTTTCCTCTTCCTGAAGTATATCTTTTGGAAGTTCCATTAATGCAGGTTTACTAGTGATATTAACTAATTATATTTTGATCATTAATTAATATTGATGTTTAGTAATATCAAATAATTGGTGTTTGGTTAAATAATAGAATTTAATTAAATTAAAGATTAATTAATTAAATTAATTGATTAAATAAAATTCTATTAATGAAGCCCTCTCAGTGTTCATCTGAAAATATTCCTGTTTTCTCCACTTTTCTATAATATGTCGATTTAGTTACTCAGATTGATATGTGTCATGCTTCCTAATTCCATGAATTCATATATTCTGTCAGTTCTGGAAAATCGTCAGCCATCATTTTATCAAATAATATCTCTCCTCTATTCCTTCCATTCTTTTCTTTTTGCTCTTTAATTACATGTGCATTAGATCATCTTAGTCTGTCCTCCATGTCTCTTATCTCTCTTTCACATTATCCATTTATTTATGTCTCTGGGCTGCTTTTCAGAAGATTACTTCAGATCATTTTTCTAGCTCATTGATTTTATTTTTCTTCAGCTGTGTTAGCTCTGTCCATACATTAAGTTTTCAAGTTCAGTAGTTATATTTTTTATTTTGTGAAAGGTGTTGAGGTGGGAGATTGGGGGGGTGGTCCTTTCTAAAATCTGCCTAGCTATTTTTATAGTCTCTTTTGTAGGTTGTTGATTTCATATTTTTCCTTTAACATTTCAAACAGTTCATTTAAATTCTTGTATCTTATGTAGAATCATGGAGTGAGGTTGGGTCATGCCTGGGCGTGATAGAAACTTTATTCTTACTCCTCTCCAGCTTGATTCCCAAGTGGATCCACTATGTGTCCCTTAAAACTGAATGCAAGAGGCAGAGGGAAGGGGTGGGCCTAATCATTGCATAGAATACTGCAAGAGATGGCAAATAAGGCATAGATACCAATCCCTCTTCCAAACAGAACGTCCTCGATTCAGGCAGCTCCAAAATGAAGACAGTGTGGGTTAGCCACAGTTCATTTCAGGATCTGTGTGTTTGTCATTCTGATATCCAAGATAAAGCATTTTCTCTGTGCAATAAAAAATCATGTCAGAATCCTTAATTCTATTCACCCCCCTCACGTGCATTGTTCAAAGTAATTATCTTTGAATAATGCTTCTCTGGATGAGAATATTAAGGTAAATCCAAACCATTCCCTAGTTAAACATGCTAGGAGTACATGAAGATAGCAACACACATGATTGCTCAGGAAACCATGTTTACATAGTGGTTTGGGGGCACTTGCTCATATGTTACTATTTAACAGGCTTTCATTGTTACTTCATTTGTTTCTGTGATCCTCTAGGGAAATTCAAATTATTCTTAAAATCCCATGTGATATTTCTGCATAAACTGCTGCTGAATAAATGCATGTCTGGACAAGATTATATAAATGTTACTTCCTTGATAGGCAATCCTCCATTCTGTTTCCTAGTGCATCATTGAAACAAATGAAGCAGAAACAAATAAACACAATTAAATGTAATGTGTGAACACCTGCCTTAAACGTTCTCTCCCCTTTGGAGGATATTGCGAGATTATTTGGTTATGACACTTGTATCAAAGCTCATGAGGGGAAAACAAGATACAATAAGAAAGCTCAACAAACCAGCCCTGTCTGACCACACCCTTGTGTAACTTGATCAAGTTCACATGTAACGTGGAGACAACTTCTAACTTTCAGGGTTATTGGGGGGATTAAATGAGACACTGTCTATAAAGCACTTATCACAATTTTGACACATAGGAGGCCTTCAAATAATAGAAATTCTTTTGTTCTTAAATATTGCTTTTCTTTAAAGTTTGCTAAATATTAATGATTTTAAGACTAATTTCTTACTTTTACATTTCCATAGATGCAGCCTTCTGCCAATGCTGAAAACGAGAAGACATGGCAAGAGATATCAGATGAGATCAAGAAGATATTTAAGGCTGCTGTAAAACTATTGCATGAAAAGGGTAAAATGAAATACAGCCAAGCTAAGAGATACCTGTTCTCAGGTACTTTTAATACATCCTCAGGAAACTAAGGAATAGATAAATAATAGATGCGCCCCTGCTGCATCCCTTTGGGTTCCACAAATTTAATCACATTTACTGCCTGGTGAAATTTAATTTTTCTAAATGTTTCCATGTCCTGGAGAAGCAAGTATTCTTTTGTTTTAACTCATAGAAATGCCTTTACTTAACTTGAGGGCTTCTCCAGAAAATGTGATTTTTACAAAAAGTCAGAGGTGGCTGGATGTAACAGACCAGACTGTGCCGTTGTTTCTCAGGTGAGCTGTTCATTCAGTCACTCACTCATCCAGCAAACATTTATTGACCTTATTGGCCTACTATGTGCCAGCCACTGCAGGGACAAAAATGAATAATAAAACAAAGTTGCTATTCTCCTTATTTTTAATGGACAGGGGGAGGGTGGTGGTGGTAACTAAATGATAAGCAAGTAATCAAATAAATGAGCAAGATCATTTCAGAAATGATAAGTCACATGAATAAAACATAGCAATAGGATAATAGTGACTGATGTAGGATGTCGGGGTCCAGATATAGATGGGGTAGGCAATAAGGACGTGACTTCTGACCTGAATGACAAAAGGACTCAGAGCCGGCAGTGCCATATGTATCTAAGGTAGAGAATTCCAGGCAGAAGGATCAGCAGGTTCAAGATCTCTGAGACAGGAACATGCTTAGCAAATTCCAGGAGCAGGAAGAAAGGAAAGATGGTTTTACTCTTTTTTTTTTTAACTTTTACTGGGAAGGATAGATGAGGTTAAAAGGTGAGCTCAGGCCATAGTAAGAACCTCATGTTTTATTCTGGGTGAGATAGAAAGCCATAGGAGGGTAGGAAGCAAGGAATTGGTAAGATCTAATTTAACATTAAAATAAAAATCTCCCCAGCTACTAAACAGAGACTCACTTAGCCTTTCTCCGCCAGTGGAAGGAAGCTTTCTTATTTGCACAGGAAAACACAGATCTGAACACATGCTGCTGGGTAAAAGTAAGAAAATAGGTAGCATTTATTTTTGAAAGTTGATAGTAAAGATATTGGCCAGGCGCGGTGGCTCACGCCTATAATCCTAGCACTCTGGGAGGCCAAGGCAGGTGGATCATTTGAGCTCAGGAGTTCGAGACCAGCCTGAGCAAGAGCGAGACCTGTCTCTACCAAAAATAGAAAGAAATTAGCTGAACAACTAAAAAAATATATAAAACATTAGCTGGGCATCATGGCGCATGCCTGTAGCTCTAGCCACTTGGGAGGCTCAGGCAGAAGGATTCCTTGAGCCCAGGAGTTTGAGGTTGCTGTGAGCTAGGCTGACGCCACGGCACTCTAGCCCAGGCAACAGAGTGAGACTCTGTCTCAAAAAAAAAAAAAAAAAGAATTATTGAGGAAAAAGCGATGGTAGTAGTGTCCTTAGATTGGTTTTTTGAATGGCATGGCAAAGCACTTTTGAAAACTTAAAAGGTGCTTGATAACTATTCTCACTGGATACATGTTTGTCAAGCACAGAGAAGTTATAAATCATTCTGACAAATTTCAGAAGGAAGCTATCAAAAAAATAGGTCTTATTTTAAGTCTCCCTGAAAATACTAAAATTGTCATCAATAAGTACTTTCTCTAGAATATGTAAATTAACATATATCCTTGTTCCTCTGGGAACTTTAGATCCATTTGGGGGCTCTGGCTCTTCATATTTTATCAAGGACAAAACAACTCCATTCTTTAAAAAATGCTGTCTTAGAAAAAATGCCCAGAGCAAAGCTCTCCTATTCTTTATGTAAAAAACACTAGTTTGGGGAATGCATCATCCTCTTATTTGCAATCATATAGCTCAAGTATTCAAGTATTTCACTGGTAAACACTTTCCCTAACTTTCTCCATACTAAAGAACTCCATCCATATGGGTAGCCATGTGAACAGTAGTAATTTCATATGAACTGCTGCAAGTGGACTATTTTCTGCTTGGGATAACGTCTCCTATAGATGTACATGCTCATGACAGTTTATTTTACATTTCAAACTCATTTTAAGATCATGCCTGAACAATCAAAATTGCTGAAGTGCCAGCTCTTTCAATGGATATAGCAAATTAATATTTTTAGAAATCTCAAAAGTAGGAATACTAGATAGAACCTGTAAAGGTGTATTATTTGTATTTCAATGTAATTTTTCACACTTATGGTTTCACCTTTTTTTAAAACAACAGGAGAGAAACAGAAATAAATTAGACCCCCAAAATGGTGCCTTTCTGTGAATGTCAAAATTGGTTGTCTTGAGGATATTAGAGAGATTAATGTCTTACGGATGACAGATGCCAGGGCTGGGAATCTGTTCCTAATGTCACCGTCACTGGGTGCTGTGACTGGTTAGATTTCGGGATATTAACAAGCAAAGACAGAAAACAATATAGTATTCTAGTAAGGAGAGGGGAAAGCTTATAATATTTATAGGCAATATCAGAAATTATGAATAAAAGTTTACCAAAATCATCACAGTGCACTTTGCCTCAAAAAATAACTCTATAGACTTGACTTTGTATGACATCACTCATTTATTCAGGTATATTTAAAGTCTATACCAGGCATTCTGTGTACAGCCTTTTTCCCCCTCAGCCAAACTTAGATGGGCTCTGCAACTTGATTTACCTGTATTTCTTTTCTTTATCAACATTCCCGATTGACACACTGTTTCCCATAGGTGTGATAACAATGTCAGTTTATATAATACTTGAGTTGTTTTCTGGGAGCCAAATGTGGCAGCACATATCTCTGATTATCATGCATTTTGTGTAGATACTACAGTTTGACCATTTTTTCTTCATCATACTCTCAGAATCCAGAATGTGCCCTAGAATTTTACACAGATGGCTAGAAAAGAGATGGGCCCACAGACATCATCTGCAATAGCTCATGATGTTCTGATTTCTTGCATCTTCTCTTGTCTACATTGTAACAAGTTCTTACCCTTCTTTAAGAAGAAGAGTAGACATGTGTTATATAAACTCCTTTAACTGGCTTCCTTAACCAACTTGCCTGATTAATACCCTTTGTAAAATGTACTGACCCGTATGACACAGCTTACTGAACACTGGCAGCTATAAACGTATCTTCTTCACTTGAGTCAAAAATTTCGATCAATGGCTATCATTACTGAAAAAATATATATTATCACAAGAGTTCTACTGAAAGATACTATTTTTTAGTAAAATTCTCACTTTCCTTAATAGTTACGTTATGGAGCATATGTATGTGTGTTCTAGGTTTGGCTCCATGTTGGAGTTGTGGCCAGCATATAAATGTGCTCATTTTATGGCCAGACCAGCCCTGTGAGTTCAGAGCCTCCCCCACAGAAATTTACAATCTGAGATCAAGGCACCTGTAGATTTGGTGTCTAGTGAGGGCCGGCTTCTTGTTCATAGATGGCTGCTTCTTGCTGTGTCTCATGGCAGAAGGGCGAGGGCGCTCTCTGGTCTCTTTTATGAGGGTGCTTCCAGTCACAAGGCTCCAGCCTCATGACCTAATCGCCTCCCAACCATTCCACCTCCTAATACCATCACATTGGTGATTAGGTTTCAACATAGGAATTTGGGGGACACAAAACATTCAGTCTGTAGCACTCCATAATGGCTTTTTCTCTCAGTGCTGTCTGTTTTTTCTCACCATTGTATCCTAAGCAACTATCAGCATGCCTGGCACATAGTAAGTGCTCAATGAATACCCAAGTAGATGAAGGAAAGGAAGGAGGGAGGAAGAGAGGGAGGGAGGGACAGTGGGAGGATAGGCAGCCAATTTGAAAAGACTGCTTGCCTTAAAATGTATTTCCTTTTGTTTACTTATTTCATTTATTTTTAATTTTTTCCTTGCATAATGATATTTTTATTTCTACTGATCCCGTTTCAAATGTTCTTATAGGGTCTCATGCAAGCATATATATATGCAAGCATATGTATTACAACTCATACTATGGTTCATTTTAGACGAATAAAGTTATATATTAAGTCATTTTCTGTGCCTGTTGTGATGGATATAATGGAATTTAACCACTTCGGTACGAGCGTCAGCTATAGTCGACAGCCACAGATGAACACGCACAGCGACTGTAGCCAACAACCGTAATATGACTTTTCTAATTTTTCATTTATCAAAATAAAATTGTGAACATTTAAAAATAACGTAATGAAAACATATATGTGCATGTTACCTATTCTGATTTACATGACAAGTAAAGCTGCCTATAAAGTAAAACAAGCTGTCAGGGCTTTCAAGCTTTCTTCATCACACAAGAGCGAAACGGACTCGTGGTCAATGCGCAGCACAGACTATTGTGCGGCCGGTGAGCGCCGTACCGAAGTGGTTAACAGAGGCATGGGTCATCCAGATGGATCAGTAATCTGAACATGATTATATTCTGCTTAAAATGTGCCTTTGTATTTAATTTGAACATAGCTGTCTGGAGTTCAGTACATCTCAAATAAAATGATGAAACCACATTTCCAAGGACAGTCTGAGAAGGAACAAATAAACCAGCTACATCATTCAGCCACGTCCTCTTTCTTTCCCAGACCAAATTGGTCCCTGCTGTCAAAATTGTTGAAGTCTGAGAGGGATTTCAGCAGCAACCTAGAAGTATCCACTGTAACTGTGGTATGCTCTCTTTATTATACTCACGTCCAACCTCTCCCTTGGATTGGGGAGAAAACTAAATAATTTTACTTAAAACCCATGATTCTGGATTCCAGGCTGCTTAGGAAAAGACAAGAAATTAAGGAGTTAGGAAATTATTCTAAAGACTACTTTGCTCCAAACCATACGCAAAATAATGGACCACTAGCAACTAAAAGTTGAGTGTTTAGAATGTGGGTACATTGCTCCTTTGTGCCAAGCAATAAACTTTTAATCTTATTTTCTTACAGCATTAGAGGATGAGTTTGACTTTGCTCTAGGAAAGCAAACACCAGCATTCCTAAAGAAGTGTGTTTGCTACATTAGGAAAATTGCTAACATTGAGCGCTTCGTGAAAATTCCAGAGATGGGGAAATACATGGATATAACTGGAACAGAGCCAAGGATTATGCGGGACCCAGAAGCCCAAGAGAAGCTGATAAAACTCAGGGATGAATTTATTCCTACTATCGTTGCATCATCTAATCTGAGAGTGTACACGTCTGTTACTCATTGTGACATGAAGCTAGGCTATTCCCAAGAAATAGAAAATCACTACATTGAAGGACTTGGTAAACAATTTTATGAGGATATGATTGATATAATCCAGGCAACAGTGCAACAGAATTTTGACACTGAAACTGATACACTCTATGATGAAATCCTTCAACATTCGTCATTATGTAAAACATACGCCTCCTTCTACGAGTACAAATGTGAATCTCTAAACATAGTGCATAACTACATTCTTCCAAGCAAAACTGGGCACATCAACCCTCTTATTGTATATGGCGGACCATGCACTGGGAAGACGCTTCTGCTAGCAGAAGTAGCAAAGAAGGTAAAAGCCTATTCTTTCCCATGTATATTTGTAAAAACTTTTCCTTTGGGAAAATGCTAAATTGATCAAATCACTTCCATTTTCTTTGTTTACTATCGAATTATAGTTAGTCTTTGGAAATGGTTACTTCGCTGCTTCTTTTCTATATATACAGTGGTTAGAATGAGAGGACAGGACTCTGGGGATGAGACTATAAAGCAACTTCATTCTCCCTCTCGCTGTTGCAGTTCGTGCTGTGGGACCACCGCTATGCCATTTGCATGAGTACTGGGGCAGATCCCGACAACCCTCCTCTCTCTCTCAGACACAAGCCCCCGGTCACGTCTGGTCACTAAATCAGTCTCACTTCAATAATTACTATGTCTGACCTAAGGTAATAACTAGAAACTTCAGTTTACCTTTTTCTTCCTCAGCCGAGACCTGCCATAAGGAAGAGGAAGTGAGGGCATGGCCATCTTCTTCCTTGTTCCTCATAGCACCCCCTTCCCTCCGTTCCTAGCCCAGCCACATTCCTGACCCCAGTGGCGTTGTGGGTTAGCGGATATAGGAAAGGTCAGGGGGCCGGAGAAATCTTACATGACCAGACTGTCCTTAACTGGGCTATGAACTTTCTGTTCTTAGTGAGCACTTACGGCTCCTCCCGTCTCTTCTGAGGCTTTTCATGGTTTCCTGGAGTCCTTTCCCCCGCACCCCTGCCCTCGCCTCCCGAGCACTGTCATCTGGAGCTCCCTGGACACGGGAAGGCATCTTTCTTCTTGCTGGTTACTTCCTCGGCTCCTAGACACCCAGAAATACACTTCCAGTATCTGTCTTTCTGCTGAGACCCTCTCCACACCCCAGCACACTGCTTAGGGCCTGAGAAAAACAAAACAAACAGAAACCCTTGTCAGCTACTCTGCCTGCGGCCCACCTCTGGCAGCTGGGAAACGCTCCGGTATCATTTTGCCCTGAGAAACGCTGGACCTCCAGGCCCGACCCGGCACAGCAGCCCCGCCTCACTCCTCCGCGGAGAGCCAGCCGGCCTCAGTCGCCCAACCGCACATTGCCCAGATGTCTTCAGACATCAGATGCCCGAGCCCCCACGCTGTGCCGGCTGGGCAAGCGGTCCACGGAAGCTCCTTCCCCTCCGCTGGAAATGAAGGTTTGGCATCTCCCTGACCCCCCTTTGGGGACCAGGTGATGAGAGGTACAACTCACAGCACCTGAATCCCCACGTTTTATCTCAGCCTCTCTAATCTCCCTTCCCAGGAGAGGTGGGCAGCTACCCTAGCAGAGCTAGTTTCCAGAACCTCCCATTCAGGTCCTGCCTCGTGGTCTAGAACCTCTCTTTGGAATGTGGTGTCTATTGTCTTGGTTCCTTAGCTGAAGCCAGATGAAACTAGTTCCAGTTTTTAACCTACCGTTTCCTTGGTGTTAAAGAACGCTGGTTTCTTCCAGTGTTAATTCAGAATCTTCATTTTTAGCCGACAGGGACAAGCTTCAGTGGACTGCTTACAGAGCGCCCCTGAGCGTGGGGCGCCCCGGCATGTGCGGGCCAGCGCCGTCTGGGAAATGCGCAGGTTGAGTGTTCTTCCCCCGGTTACTGTCTTAAGAACAGGGCTGTCTTAACTCCATGAATATTCTTATAATCCATCGCATGCTATCTAATCTCAAATTGGTCATTTTGAGGTCAAGAACAGAGACCGCTGCGTTGTACCATATGTGGGGATTATGTTCCAAAGTAAGCCCACAGGAGAAAATCAGGTATATCCCACTTGCCTTGAAAAGTCCTTAGAAATGCTAATCTACCATTTCTTAATATGTCAAGCCCAGCTGGTTTTTATTGTTGTGTTAGAAGATATAGCTCTTTCTTTAATTGAGCACAGATGAAGTAGCTGGCTTGCACTTAGAGTCCACATTGCGTCAGAAAAATTGTGTGTGCATGTGTCCTTCACATGCACAAATCTGTATATGTGCCTTCAAACTTTAGAATTATTCCAAGTAAGGAAGATAATAACACTGTACGGGCCACATGAGAACTGAGATCAAATGAGGAAACACTCTTGTATGCCATTCACACCCACGCTAGGGCTTTCTTCCTTGTGGAGGAGGGGAGGGTAAAGGCAGTTGGAGGAAACAAATACTGTTGCATCTGACCGAGTCAGAGGTTCGAGGGATGCATCTGCACATGCTCTAGCACAAGAGGTTGTGCTGATACGCCTGTACAGATGGCCAGTCCCAGAGAGGCAGAGTGTGGTGGCGGTCCAGAGTAGATCCACATTAGAAATGGCTTTCCGAGCTCTCACTGTTCTGGGTATTTTGACCAGTCACCTGAGTCTGTTTATTCACAGTCCAGGATTCTGGGCCCCCAAGAAGGCATACCTATTCTGGGGTCCCTTGCCTGCACTTCACTTGCCTCTCTCCTGGGGAATGTCTGACTCACGGTCACATAACAACCTGTGCTTTCCTGTGACTTCACGTCCCTCTGTGGACAGACATCTCACACACTGTGTTACCCAGCGCGTCCATGGACGTGAGGTCGTGAGTACAGGCCTGCTCTCTGCAGACAGCGCACACCAGCAGCACGTGGTTAGGAGGAGAGAGGAGTGTACACATAATCATCGTAGGCCACAATGTGCAAACAGACAAACTGCTTTCTGATTTGCCTCCAATGACATTATCTTCCTTGAAATCAGCTCAAAGATTGGAGCTAAAGAACAACAACAAAATACTTTCCTTAAGAGCTTTCCTTAAACTTAAATACTTTCCTTAAGATATCCATAAATCTTTTCTAATCTTGTTCATGCCTTAACCTAAACTATCTCTTGAAGAAACAAATTTTATAAACTTACTTCCTAATGTGTAAAATAACACTTTCTTTTCTAAGGAGTATCCTTGGTAGATTCCAAGGATTACTGAAAGACTCTCTCCCTAAAAACACTCTTTGTTTTGTTTTATACTTTGACTATATCCCTTCTCATCCTTGCCTTTCCAGACAGATACTAAACCAGGGGTCCTCAAACTTTTTAAACAGGGCGCCAGTTCATTGTCCCTCAGACCTTTGGAGGGCCTGACTATAGTTTAAAAAAAAAAAAACTGAACAAATTCCTATGCACACTGCATATATCTTATTTTGAAGTAAAGAAACAAACAGGCAAAAACACCCGCATGTGGCCCATGGGCCATAGTTTGAGGATGCCTGTAACTAAACTTAGTAGTCCCCTTATATATTTTCTCTCTTTAACACCACAATTAAAAAAAAAAAATGAAAGCATTTAAAATGAAAGTCAGGTATGTCCTCTCTTCCAACTTCATCTCTTGGTGACCATTGATCTCTGAGCAAGTCATTTATCTAGCCTGGGCCTCAGTTTCTTCTTCTATCAAATGATACTGTAACCTCATCTTAAGAAAGATAACGTGAGCACTGATGATGACATGTTTATATAATGAACCATCTGTTATAAAGCACAGCATTTAACAAAACTCTTTGAACTAGCATTATGTATATATATTTTTATGACAAATAATAAATATATGACAAATAAATAATAAATAAATAAATAAATAAATGATAAACAATCATAATTACGACCCTCTAACACTACAAAAATGTCTCTAAATCATAAAAGATTATATTCAGTATACTTTTAGTACTGCATATTTTTATTGCATTCTAATTAATTGGAAATTTGGTCAGCTACATATGGCATTATGTGCTCTCAATTAATGAAAATATTTAACTCAATATAAAGTGTAAATCATTACTCAACCCATTCATTAAAAAAAAAAACCTTACTAAGTTCCTACTGTGCCAGGAAATGGCATTCATTCAGTGATACCAAACTGACCATAATAGATAGTCAGATTTACAGTTCATGAAATCTTTTGTGTCTTTTAGAATGCAAGCTAAATGTTGCCTTATGATTGAATGACACTATTACCACTATTTTACTACCTTCAGTAAGAGTAATCCTGAACGTCTCACCTATAGACCTTAGTGCACGAACTTTGTGGCAGTGTTGTCACCTTCTCAAAATATTTTCCATTTCTTGGTACTAGGTTACTTTCTGCATGGTAAGGGTTACCAGAAGTCCGAGTTTTGGAGAGAGGAAACGTTATTATATATGCCCATGAAAACACATCTTACCATTCTAAACTCCTCATTTATGTTTCAGGCTTATGGCTGGCTACAAGAAGACACAGGACCAGAATCTGACCCAGTAGTAGTCGTGAGATTTCTAGGAACAACAGACATGAGTACTGACCTTAGGACTCTCCTTCTAAGTGTTTGTGAACAATTGGCGATTAACTATCGCTGTCTAGTTCAAAGCTACCCTAAGAAGATTCATGACCTCTGTGATTTATTTATAAACCTTTTGAATGAGTCTTCAATGCAGAGACCTCTGGTCATAATATTTGATGCACTAGAGCAGCTCTCAGAGAATGACGACGCCAGGAAGCTTTGGTGGCTCCCAGCTCACCTTCCCCGCTTTGTACGGATAGTTCTGTCCACACTGCCCAACAAACATGGGATCCTGCAGAAACTCAGGTGCCTTATCCATGAGGAAGACAACTACATTGAGCTGATTCCCCGGGACAGGAAGATGTGCAGCCAGGTCCTCAAACACCAGCTGCTGCGAGTCAAAAGAAAAGTCACTTCAGGCCAGCAGATTTACGTGAACAATGCCTTCTCCAAGTGCACACTGCCAATGTTCGTGAACCTGACCTTCCGGGAGGTGAGACATTGGAGATCTCACAAAGACGTCGATGAATCCTCCCTCTGCGTCACTGTTCATGAAAGCATAGAGCAGTTGTTCTGGTCCTTGGAGAAGAAGTGTGGTCAGAAACTGGTCTCCAGGTCTCTTGGTTACATCACCATGGCCAAAATGGGTTTGAGTGAAATGGAACTGGAGGATGTGTTAGCCCTGGACAACAGCGTCATGAGCGAGCTCAATGAGAACACCAGGCCCACCAATCCCCTGAGAGTGCCGTATTTGTACATCGCCAGGCTCAAGGAGGGGCTCAGTGGATACTTAATAGAAAGACATGTGAAGAACGTCACACTCCTGGTCTGGGCCAACAGACACCTGCAGCTCATAGCCCAAAAGCTGTATCTGCAGGACGACAGTGGTCTGCGTGAAATGCACACCATCCTGGCGGATTATTTTCTGGGGGTCTGGTCAGGGGGCAGGAGGAAAGCTTTCTGCCTTGAAGACGCCTACTTGAACGGCTGCCTTGACGTGGAGAGCAGAAGCCTGCTTGAGGAAGAAAAGCACTTCATGGAGCAGGCTTCCTTCGACAGGCAGGCCCCGGACCAGCCCTGGGTGTTCCAGTGCAATCCACTGGAGCCCGACATCTTTTTCGTCAATCATCGGAAAATGTGTGAGCTTTTGCACCACCTGACGAGGTGTGGAAAAACCGATGACCTGCTCTATGGCATCATCATGAACTTCAGCTGGCTTTATACCATGATCAAAATTGGCCAGTTTGACAAAGTGCTCTCAGACATCGAGCTGGCTTACAACTACTCGCAAGAGAAAGAGCTGAAGTTCCTGGCCAGCACCCTCCGAGGCATCAAAAACAAGGTCATCGCCTTTCCTGGCTCCCTTTCGGCAGAGCTGCAGCAAAGACTGCTGCCTGTCATAAGTTCCCTCCCCAAACTTAGACACCTTCTTTTAGAATGTGACAAAGATGGGCCGAAATATTGCTCCATTGTGCCGTTGCATTCGTCCATGGATGTGACATACAGCCCTGAGCGTCTTCCCCTGTCGTCCAGTCACCTGCATGTCACGGAGATTCTGCCCACCTGTAACCCCAGTACTGTCCTCACAGCTTTAGAAAACGGTTCCATCAGCACGTGGGACGTGGAGACTCGCCAGCTGCTCAGGCAAATCACCACAGCCCAGTCTGTCATCCTGGGCATGAAACTCACCAGTGACGAAAAGTACCTTGTGGTGGCTACAACAAATAACACCTTGCTGATTTATGACAACGTCAATTCTTGTCTCCTGTCTGAAGTGGAAATCAAAGGGACCAAACACGGCAGCAGCTCCACCTACATCAATGGATTCACTCTGTCCGTCCACCACGCCCTTGCATGGCTCGAGGCCAGCAAAGATGTCACTGTCATCGATCTGCTCTACGGATGGCCCCTTTACCAGTTCCACTGCTGGTACGAAGTAACGTGTGTGCAGTGCTCTCTGGACGGTGCCTATGCTTTCTGTGGACAGCACCTGAACACTACCACCGTATTTCATTTAGGGAGTGGAGAAAAGCTATGTACGGTGGCGTCGGAATTCTCAGGTGGGTTTGTGAAGTTTCTTCTTATCTTGGACACGGCTCAAGAAATGGTCATGGTGGACAGTGAGGGAAGCCTTTCTGTTTGGAACACTGAGGATATTTCCAGACCCCAGCTGACCGATGACTTCGACTGCCGAAGAGAAGACGGCGAGGTGGTCAGCATTGAACTTTCGGAGGACCAGAGTGCGATTCTGATCTGTAAAGCTCTCAGCATTGAGCTCTTAGATACTGGCATGTGGAAGGTGGCTGAAAAGTTCAGAGCCAAGCACAATGAACGCTTTATATCTGCTGTGCTGTCCAAAAATGGAGACTGCATCATTGCGACCATGGAAAATACCTCAGCTGTGTTTTTTTGGAGGCGAGACACAGGACAGTGTATGGCGAGCTTACAGGAAATCTCAGGTTCTATTGTTAAATTGGTGAAATCTAGTCACCACAACATGCTCCTATCTTTATCAACCAGTGGCGTTCTTTCCATCTGGGACGTAGATATAATCACAGCCATGTCCAACATAGATAAGACTGGAAAACCCATCCAAAGTCTGGTGTTGCCCGCTAGAGGCGAAATCATTTACTCCCTGGACGGCTCCGACTGTGTTCATAAGTGGAACTTCAGTAGCGGGTTCATTGAAGCGGTATTTAAGCACGAAGGAATAGTTGAGCACTGTGTGTTAACATCCACTGGGGACATAATGGTGACATCAGATGACAAAAGCAGCCAGTATGTCTGGCACACCAGCAGCGGTGAAAACCTCTTTAGAATCAATGGGCAGAGAATATCCCAGCTGCTGATTACACACAACGACCAGTTTGTGGTCTCTCTCTGCGAGGAAAACGCCTCCAGGGTTTGGAGACTCGCCACAGGCCACAGGGTCTGCAACATCCTGACCACTTTGCAGAATGCCTTTATTACCTCTGCAAACACCTTCGTGGTGGGCATGACTAAAAGCAAAGTGTTGGCGGTTAGTCTTTGGACAGGAAGTATCACCAAGAAATTTTGCTGTGAAGATGGGACCACGATTGTGAGTTTTAAATTAATCCCTGACTGTCCTGACATCGTCGTGTTTATCACGTCGGCCGAGACTGTGAACCTCTGGAGTCTGACAGATGAAGTGATCTGTCGACGTGTGCAACTTCCAAACAACTTCCTGAAAAACCTGGAGGATTTTGAAATTTCTCCCAATGGAAAGCTAGGCATCATATCCAGGGGAGATGAAAATATCAACGTGCTGGATTTACACAGCGGTAAATTACGGGTGGTTCACGCCTCCGGGATCATCTGGCGGCAGAGGCTGTCTCGAGATGGTCGCTACCTGGTCTACATTTGTTTCCGAAACGGGGAGGAGGAGGATGAAAACGGTGCAATATCCAGTTTAATTGTAATGAGACTCGCAGATGGCAAAAATATCGGTGCTTGTTCCCTTTACAAAACACCAACTTTTCTTGCACTCTCTCAGAGGCACCTGAACATCATTGTGGGCTTTGATGACGGGAGTATAGGAATATACACAGTAGTAGACCGCGTAGATGCTGCACTGAAAATTAAAATCGCCACTTCAAATAGCAGACAAATTTTCAACAATGCAACGCAGACATCCAGGCCAAAGTCCAACAGTTATTGTTTTAAAGTGTCTGTGGATTGCTTGTGGAGAGAGTCCACGGAGGTCTTTGCTAGAGACAGCCCCATCACAGTGAGCGACTCGACCGAGCCCAGTGAAGCAACTCCGTCCAAGAAATACAACTCTTGCTATGACCGAGTGTGCTCTGCCCTAGAGCCCAGGGGCCACAGCTGCACCCCTGACAACTGACAAACTGTTTGTCCTGCTCAGAGGAAATACACGATCCACGTGCAGAAGGAGAAAAGAATATGTCCCAAATGATAAACTATTCATTTCTTAAAAGACAGGAAAGATGCTGGAATTCCACTGTTTTATTAAGATGCTCATGAAACATACAGAAATGTGAGATTGACTTTAGGTGATTTTTTTTCTTTTTTTCTTTTTTCTTTTCTTTTCTTTTCTTTTTTTTTTTTTTTTTTTTTTTTGTCAAAGTGTATCCAGGACTGAAGGAATGATAGAATTTTTATAAGTAGTATTTAAATGCCTACTTCACCTAGAAGAGAGAGCATAAAAGTTTTTAAATTAACACTGTGGTAAGCAGCAGCATAATTCATCCCATTTGGTTCAGATGAGAGAGGCTAGAGTTATACGCAGACCACTGGGACTGGAATTAGTTATACAAAATCTGTCAAAATTATGAAGACAATAAGCTTTTGACTTCAAATGATTGTGTGATGAGTAAACATAGCCTTAATCTCTCTTTCCATGTTCCAGTCCTGACAACTGTGTAACTAGTCTGCATACAAAAGGTCTAAAGGTGCAAAATAATATAACAAAAATGCCCAGTGTATTCCCAGTTTCCCCAGAGACACGACGTGAAATGTGTGACTATGAACTAGACTGGGACAAGAACTCACCACCACGATCACAGGGCTACTGAACATGGCGAGTCTGTCTTTATTAAAATACAGTTGCAACAATTGCATGCAAGGGTTTCTATACAACGGACTATATGGTTTTTAAACTATTCATTTCCTGGGCTGCAAAAGAACACATTTAATAAGAAGCCACAATCTTTTCACATCTTTTTGAAATGTATATTTGTGCCAGCTGTAAAAAGTTACAGGAAGGGCATTACAAATCTGGTCAAAACACTTGCTCATTTCTATCATTTTACCAACAAAAGTCTGTACTACTCAGTCAGTTGTATGGAAGCATAAATTATTTTCTAAATCCCTGCAGGCAATCTTAATAGAAAGCAAGCTTTCTCATCACGCCCTCTCTGAGATACTGATGACATTTGCCTTACTCTCGTTCCTCCTCTTTCCTGTGTGCAACGCAGATAGATGACCAAATACTCTGGGACAAAGTGAATATGCCTGTCTTATGTGCTAAAATATTCCATAAATCTTAAGGGTGTCCAAAGGTTCTTTATTGTCCCTGTTTGTAAGACCTTTCTTACTTCTGCACACTGTATGTATGCTTCTTTATCTGTTACTCCCTGATTGAGGACTCCTCTGAGCCTTTTATAGTCTTACCCATTTCAGAGCAGAAGCTGTGAAATGGTATTAAATATTTTTTAAAAACTACTTCACCTATTTAAAAGAAAACATTACATCTCGAAAGGTGAAAGTGATTGTTCTTTCTTCTATATCTTCCACATGGCATGTCCTTGGACAAAACTTCTCAGAGGGTGTCAGGGTGATAGTTTGGTTTTCTTTGAAAGTGGCAGTTACCGACTTTCGTAGTCAGGATGACGAACCAGGAACTGACTTGCGTTCAGCCCAGCTCTGCCATGAACGCATTGTGTGTCCCTAGACAGATCTTTGGACCTCACCAGTGTACTGTTCTTGTAAATTTCAGAATAAAGGTAGTGATAACTTCTGCTGTACCCCCCCTAGGGAAGTTGGGGAGCAACGTGAGGAAAAATACTGTGGCATCTTGATTATTGATGCTAATGGGAAAAATAAAGTGATCTAACCCATAGAGAATCCCAGTTCATTGTATTTCACTTTGGAAAGCAGTTTAACATATAAGCCTTCAAAGATGTGATTCAGTTATAAATACCCCACTCCATGGTGTAAAACTTTTTGCAGTATGGCTCCTCCTGGTTTAGCTACCAGCCAGGGAGGCGGTAGCCCAGAGAAGGTTACCCACGTACAGAGCACATGGAGTTGTTTGTGTGAGTCAGTGCTTTTGAGCTCTTTAGACAACACGTTCTTGTTCCTTTCATTATCAGTTGGAACTCCATACCACACACTTCTAAGAATTAAATGCCTAGATGGATTAAATGTAGTATGTGACTGTTCTGTATAAAAGCCAACACAGTATAAGTGACTTGAATGATTTTTCCTAACTTGTTTGCAACTGATAGCTCATATTGAATGTTTTTATGTAAACTTTGTATTGTTGGGAAGAATTACCCAATCAGAGATTTATATTTTCATAAATGTTACATTTAGTTAAATTTTGTTACAGAGTTGTTACACTAGAAAATTATTTCAGTCTTCAAACAATATACAGTCTTGTGTATGTATTGTTTGTATGAATAAAAGATAAGCCACTTAGATTTGTATGCTGTTGGTTTTTCTCCCCCATCTTTAGCAGATATAGTCAGAGACCTTCAATAATAATAATAATTGTTCATGCTCAATAAGTGCTTATGGGGCACCAGGCACTGTTCTTGGAGCTTTGTGTATACTAAGCCATGTAGTACTCACAACAACTTACAGAGGTAGAGACTGTTTCTATTCCAAATCTACAGAGGAGGAAACCTAGAAACAGAGGTCCAGGGAGAATAGCTGAACAAGACTTCAGTGCATGCTCAATGTGTTTTTTGTTAACTTCCTCAAATCACATCAAAATACAGCTAGCATTTAGTATCTAGTAGGCATTTAGAGATAGATAATGACCCATGACTTATTTTCTGACTTACTGATGGGAGATCAGGCTAGGCTCTGAAGGTCACTGAAGGTTGATGCAAACTCCCAGGTGTTTTAGGTATAGAGAAATAGTTGATGAATTCATTAAGAAAATATTTATTTGGTCATGCCTTTTTCCAGGAACACAAAGGTAAATAAAATAGTTCATGCCTTATAGGATTTCAATCTTAATGGGAAAACAGGTAAGAAACAAGTTCTCTGTGTGTAAGTGCAAGGGCAGTGTGCTTCCCTCTGGGGATGGGATGGAGCCGGAAGGATAACCAAGGAGTAATCCTGTTCTTAAATTCCCTCCAGGTGAGACAGCAGGACCAAAGGGAACCTGCTCAGACACCCTTTTGTTCATCTCTTTCCTCTTGGATCTCAGAATCCTCACATACACCAAAAATATATATATATTAAAAAAAAAAAGCACCATTGGCAAACAAGTGATGATACATAGGAAATAATCAGATGAAACCTGGTATCTAGTTGTCATAAAACAATTGTTCTGAGAGAAACTTAAAATCAAGGTGTTAAGAAAAAATCTAAGAAATTGTTTATTGCCCACATCTTCACAAGGCTGAGACTAATATTTAAAATCTATCCCCAGAGAAAACTACCCCATTTCCCATGCTGGGGAATTTCTTCTTAGATTCTAATCTGTGTCCTTTAGGTTGAAGGTTAAACTCTCTTCTTTTTTGGTTCTCAGAGAAAACATAGAGAAGTTGATCAATATTTGCATAAAAGCATTTCATACAAATGGAGTTTGTTGTTTAAATATCTTCTTTCTTAGAGTCAAGAGTATAACAAATATTGCATGCTTGCTATGTCTGAGGCATTATGTTATGCCCCGGGATGATTCGAAAACTAGTCACACATGGCTCCTGCTCTCTAGAATCCTGCAATCTAAAACAGACACAAATAAACCAGACATGAGGCTGATAAAAAGCTGTTAATAACAGTGAAGGCCAGGTGCTGAGGGCACACTGCAGAGGAACAATTCTCTACCTGGGAATCAAAAGGTTGACCAAGAGGAGGAGACAGAGCTGAGTCTTGACTCCTAAGCAGGACTTAGCTGTCAACATCAGAAAACGTATCAGCTGAAGGGAGCTGCATGAGCGAAAAGAGAGGGTAGAAGCACATTCTGGATGACTTCCAACACGGTGCTGGGATTGTAGACTTTATTCAGGGGTCAGTAGGGAGCTATGAAAACTTTTTGAGAAGGGAGATGCCCTGGTTGGAATGGTATTATAGAATGAGTCCGGCAGTACTTTGTCGGATGAATTAGAGATGGGATGGAAGTGACCAGAAACTGGGAGACCAGTAAATACTATTCCAGTGATCTGAGATAGAAAGTGTAAGAGCTTGATCTTGGGACTACAGCAGTGAAAATGCTAAGAAGAGGGGCAGTTCTAGAGTGATTCAGCTGGTAGAGGCAGGTGATGAAGGGGAGAGAAAACTCAAATAATTCCAGTTCCAATTGAAATTGGGTAGATAGTACAATATAAAGTGAATAGGAGATCAAAGTGGGGGAAATCATAAAATAAACATAGACCTAGAGAGTTTAAAGATAAGGCATCCATGCAAGCAATTGGAAATATGCTATCCATCTCATGGAGAATCTGAGATAAAGGATCCTATCAGTTATTTCTTTCTCTTGAGCCTTTACTACAATGCCTAATAATGGTGTGTGTGTGGGGGGGGGAGTTATAATGTAAGTAGATACCATACATTTTTAGAAAATGTGTTTCTCTTTTTAGCACTATTTGACAAGTTCTATTTGGAACTATTTGGAACCATATTGACAAATCCACTCAAATTAGCTTTCCTATATCTTTCATGACTCATTGGTTGGGAACAATGAAAACAGCAATGAAAACATGAGCACACCTAAAAAACTAAGTGAATCATGGTGCTTTCATCCTAGCTGGCATCAAGACAACACAGGTTTTTCTTCCATATTTTTACGAGGACCCTCTCAGGTCTCCATGTGGCATTCTAAGTGATCTGCACAAAGTACAGATTACACTTGGCACAGACACATCGACAGCTGCTTCAGCGTGTCAACATGACAAAGTATGCAACGCTGGCAATTTGGCATTACAAATCACAACAGCACCTCTGGCTTCATCGAATCTCGGCCTTTAACAGATGAGGGGAACTTAGCCGGCTGCCTGAGCATACCCAGAGCAGCAGTTCTCAAACTGGAGTGTGTACCACCTGTGAAAACAAATTTCTTCATCTTCCCTGATCCTCACTATTTCTGAATCAATGTCTGGGTGGGGCCCAAGAATTTGCATTTTTACTAAATTCTCCCAGATGAGGCTGATTCTGCTAGTCTGGGAACCTCACTTTAAAACTCAAGACAAATACCAAAGTCTCTTTGGACAGAATAACTTAACTAATAAATGTACGAATATCCTGTGGACATTACTAAAGTGTGGACTAGAAGGTGAACATGAGGGACGTTTATTATGACAAAGTGTTTTTATCCGAAAATGACATAAAACATGTAACTTCCCTCAGAAACCTACCCCTCTGCAGTGGGCAGCTACTACAAAACTAGGAGGATCCAAAACATTGAGTCTCTGTCCATAAAGGGTGGAAGATGCGTGAATGCAGCTGGAATCACGAAAGTAGACACACTGAAAAATTAAGGACAGTATGTCCATCTTTAAATAGTACTTGGTCCAGTTGCCTCTCCAACGTCGACTTTTACCCAACTCTCCAGAGTTGAAAAGGAAAAAGAGAAGAGGGTGAGCTAGGTGGCGCAGTCGCTTGACACATTTTCCTGGCAAGCCCAGCATTTGCTCTGGAGCGCAGGTGAAAAAAATGTCCAATCCTTAAACAGTATTTTAGGGCAAAGCAACCGGCTCCCCCACCTCACGTACGTGGCTGGCGACAGCTGCGCGTGGAGCTCAGCAGGTTGAGCGGGGTGTAGCAGCCAACGTCCCAACCTCAGGGAAAGAAAGGGAGCGGGGAGAAGAAGGGGAACCGGGTTCATGGAACCCCGCGGTGGCCCTCAGGGCGCGGGCGGGCGTGAGCCAGCGCCAGAGCGGAGGACGCCGGAGCGCCGGGCACTCGCGGTGCGGGCACAGCCCGGTTGCCCGGGCGCATCTACGTATCCCCGCTCCCGTCCCGACTCACAGAAGTCTGCCTTCTCTGCAGCACGACAGAGAGCAGGCGCGAAAACTGTCCCAGAAGGCCGGGGCCGGGTAGGTCGGACGGTGCGGGCCGGGCGCCGGGAGCCCGCCCGCGGCCACGTGACGCGCCGGCCCAATGTCCGCGCGGCGCCTGAGCGCAGGGCCGCTCGCCCTCCCGCCGCCCGCGCCGCGCCCAGCCGCAGGCAGGACCGTCCGCCGCGGGTAGGACCGTGCCGCCGCCCGCGCCCGCCGCAGGTAGGACCGTCCCGCCGCAGGTAGACCGTGCCCCCGCGCCGCGCAGGTAGGACCGTGCCCGCCGCCGCCCCGCCGCAGGTAGGACCGTCCCGCCGCAGGTAGGACCGTGCCCCCGCCCGCGCCCGCCGCAGGTAGGACCGTGCCGCCGCGGGCAGGACCGTGCCGCCGCCCGCGCCCGCCGCAGGTAGGAACGTGCCGTCGCGGGCAGGACCGTCCCACCGCGGGTAGGCCGTGCCGCCGCGGGCAGGACCGTGCCGCCGAGGGAGGGGGCTGCGCCCGCGACTCGGCCGTGAGCGCGGTTCCCCGCTTCTCTCGCAGGTCGTTTTTCGCGTTCTGATTTGCTTCTGCCCTGGGAGAAGTCGGGGAGGCACTTCGCAGTTTGATAGCTCCAGAAAATTCTTGTTGTTCAACAAAGGCGCTGCAGGACGCAAGGCCTGGCCCGAGAGGGCGCTTTGGCAAGTCCCAAATTAAGGGCCTAGACGTTTGGCAGGCTTGGCATCTAATTGGCTGTGTGGGACACTTTTGCATTTAAATCCCTAATTAATGAACTTCCAACAGCGCCTGAGGACTTGAGTTGGAAAGACTGCAAGAGATTTCCCCTTATTTCTATGCGCCCTCCCCCATTTTTAAGCATCTGTTTTTTAATAAAACGGAAATGGAGTGTGACCGCGCCGTTTCTCTGAAATGCCCTTGGTCCGGGGATTTGCCCCGCCGGCGCCGGCGGGGAGGAAGAGGTCGGGCCCGGAGGCCGCGCGCAGGGAAGAGGGCGCCAGGTGCAAACAGATGAATGGTCGGAAATGCTTGCTAAATATTTAATAATTAGGCAAGTATCTCCCAGGTCGATTACTTGGGCTGCATTGACCTTGGCAGCCCTGCTGAGCGGAGATTTTCACAGACCACCACTGAAGGATTTTCCTGAGCATATAAGGCAGAAATCAATGTTTTCCCCCAGCACTGTAATTAACCGTAAAAACAAAGCAAAATAACAACTCCCTTGAATGACTTAGTACATTTTCTTTTCCATCTCGGTATAAAAGTTTGCCCAGTGAATTTAGAGGAAGTCAGTGTTCCAGGAGGAGATGCAAAACTTTAAAGAACAGGGTGTTTATTTTCTTCCTGCCTCTGTGTATAGGAGAGCATTACTGATGGCACTTCTCACCGTGGGTGGTGGATGTCCTGGATGGTTGTAGCCAAGGTCTTGTGAGGACTAAAGTCTGGAGAAAAGCAAAGAAGCATTTGGAGTTGAATGA